TCTTTGATGCTGTTCATTTATGGAGCCACAGCCATAGCGTAGCTTGCAGGCTAAACATTAAGCAGAAACATGATATGTGTGTGGAGCAATAATGGGTTGGCTCTTTAGCATGGAGCAACATTGGAATTGTATTAAATTACACGTTAATGGAAAAATAAAGCAGGCAATAATAGGATGACAACTTAGGCTGCTATACAGCCTAGATTACAGAATACGGTCATGCTGTTTACTAGCTGAACCCTGAATTTCCTTTGAAAACTTGCTTTTAACTGTGTTAAAATGTAATGGAACCTGAAATATCCCTTCCTAATATTTCAAGTTCTCTGGTTACAGTTTGGCCATTGAGATGGGCAGGCGCTGTGTAGCTCTTATGGAATGGCCACCCCCACCCCGCCCCCCGAGGCCAATGTGCGGCTCTCGCTGGACGGAGCGAGGCTGTGCCAGGGGGTGAAGGGCCCCTAGGCCCGGAATCGCAGACCCTGTGCTGTGAACATGCAGGGGAGACCCCGTGCTGCCCCCAGGAGACCGCGCCCGGACTCACCCCCACCCTGGCGTCCTTGGGAAAGTTTTGTTTTCTCTCCTGCCAGCAGGCACTCCCCGGTAGACCTCTCACCCCACCCCCCCAAGTTCCTGGGATCGGGGAAGCTCAGTCCTCTTCTTATCCCTTGTCCCCTCGTCTGGACCAGCCTGACAGGTGGCAGCCGTGGAGCCTGGGGCGGGGCCTGGGAGCCCACACTGGTGTTGGCCAGCGTGGTGGTGCCAGACGCTCAGTGAGGCCAAGCGCGTGGAGAGGCCCGAGTCACGAGAGACAGGTTACTGATGGGAGGCCCCAGCCGAGACCACGGCATCTCAGATCCCTGTTCCTGGCCGGCCTGGGCGTGAGCGCATGGGGTGACACTGCAGGAGCCTCAGACCTCGACCTCCGGCTGGTCTGGGGTGTGAGCATGTAGTCACCACCCTCCACCCAGGCAGGGTTCTTGTTTTCTGCAGAACAGCCCCAAGATATGTGTCAGATGGCACGTCCATCCCTGAGGAGCAACCAGGACCCTCTGTTATTGCTGTGCTGGTGTTGAATCTCTCGTCTCGTTTCTTCAGGACATTTTCGTTTTTTCTGCAATTCCCTCACTTCCCCAGCTAGTAAGTGCTGACTCTGCTCTTTGAGCCTCGGGGAAACCTGGAGACTAAAGGCTTTTCTCCAAGCTGAGAACGAGGCATGTGGCGGGGCATGTGCCTGGGCTCCGCAGGGTCCTGCCTCGTTTCCACAGGCATTGTTGCTCCGGTACCTGGCAGGTGGCGATGCTTCTCCTGCAGGGTCATCGAGAGAACTGGGTCAGTGACCATCAGGGAGATGCCTCGCGTCTGTCTGCTTTCTTCCCTGTTTCCCATGGTGGCCCGAGGGGCGCCTTTGGGGCCAGGGTGGGTGGCTCTGTGAGCTAGGGTCCTTGCCTCGCGAGGTGGCTCCAGGGCAGGTCTGTGAGTGAAGAAAGCGGGATGCACTTGGTGGAGGGGGACAGGGCCCCCGGTCCTGGGAGGGGTGCTGGACCCCGAGGCGGGGTCAGGCTCAGTCAGCTTCCTTCCTGAGAGCATGAGGCCCTTGGCGCTGACAGGGGGCCCTTCTTGTCCCCATCTGCACACGCACACAGGGGTCCCAGGCTCGTCTGAGCCAAGGCGGGTGGTGCTGACGCTGGGTCTCAGACAAGAAGCGTCTCAGCCCGGGGGGCAGGCCATGGAGAGGACCCGCGAGAGCGGCGGCCGGCGTGACACGGCGCAGAATGCCCCCGGAGGCTGAGAGACAGGCCCGCAGTGCGGGGCTCCGGGCTTACCCGCTCTCCTCGGGGCTCGGAGCCTCTGCGGGGCCTGGCACAGGCTGGGGCCGGCCAGTGGCCTCCCAGGGCCCGCCACCCCATCTGTGTTCCCTGCATGTGCACCTTGTGTCAGGGAGTATGCATTACAGATGCTTGTCACGTGTGCACATTATACACTCTAACAGGATCTATTCCCTGTGTATACTGTATCCTTACTAGATACTGTATGTGTATTATATATGAATATATGCATTATGTATACATGTTATGTGCCCATTATACATGGTAATAGAATCTATTCCCTATGTGTATCATATGCATGTTAGTTGCTCAGTCATGTCTGATTCTTTGCAACCCCATGGTCTATAGCCGGCCAGGTTCCTCTGTCCATGGAATTCTCCAGGCAAGAATACTGGAGTAGGTTGCATACCCTGCTCCAGAGGATCTTCCCAACCCAGAGATCAAACCCACGTCTCCCGCATTGCAGGTGAATTCTTTACCACTGAGCCACCAGGGAAGCCCCATGTATATGCATACTATATACTATATATGCATATTATATATATGCATTACATATACATGTTATGTGTGCATATTATACACAATCATAGATTCTATTTCCTGTGTATACATATTTATATTATATATATATATAGTATACTATAATAGAGCCTTATTTCTGCATATAATATATGCATATTATAAATGAATATATGTATTACCTATACATACTACTTGTGTAAAGAGCCTCTTGATGAAAGTGAAAGAGGAGATTGAAAAAGTTGGCTTAAAGCTCAAGATTCAGAAAACTAAGATCATGGCATCCAGTCCCATTATTTCATGGCAAATAGATGGGGAAAGAGTGGAAACAGTGGCTGACTTTATTTTTCTGGGCTCCAAAATCACTGTAGATGGTAATCGCAGCCATGAAATTAAAAGATGCTTACTCCTTGGGAGGAAACTTATGACCAACCTAGACAACATATTAAAAAGCAGAGACATTACGTTGTCAACAAAGGTCCGTCTAGTCAAGGCTATGGGTTTTCCAGTGGTCATGTATGGATGTGAGAGTTGGACTAGAAAGAAAGCTGAGCACCAAAGAATTGATGCTTTTGAACTGTGGTGTTGGAGAAGACTCTTGAGAGTCCCTTGGACTGCAAGGAGATCCAACCAGTCCATCCTAAAGGAAATTGGCCCTGGGTGTTCATTGGAAGGACTGATGCTGAAGCTGAAACTCCAGTACTTTGGCCACCCGATGTGAAGAGCTGACTCATTGGAAAAGACCCTGATGCTGGGAAAGATTGAGGGCAGGAGGAGAAGGGGACGACAGAGGATGAGTTGGTTAGATGGCATCACCGACTCAATGGACATGGGTTTGGGTAGACTCCGGGAGTTGGTGATGGACAGGGAGACCCGGTGTGCTGCAGTTCATGGGGTCGCAAAGAGTCAGATACAACTGAGCAACTGAACTGAGCTGAACTACTTGTGTATGTTATATACTGTAATAGAATTGGTTTCCTCTACATATTTGTTATTGTTGTTCAGTTACTTAGTTGTGTCCAGCTCTCCATGATGCTATGGGCTGCAGCATGCCTGTACATATTAGGGTCTGTATTTTCTGTATGTATTACATTATATATCATATATATCATACTATGTACTATTGTGACCCATTGGGCTGTAGCTCTCCAGGATCCTCTGTCCATTGGATTTTTCAGGCAAGAATAATGGAGTAGGTTGCCATGCCCTCCAGGGGATCTTCCCAACCCAGGGATCAGACCCACGTCACCTGTGTCTCCTGCATTGCAGGCAAATTTCTTCACCTGCTGAGCCATTGAGGAAGCTATATATGTGTGTGTGTGTACTATATACTATAATGGGCTTCCCTGGTGGCTCAGATGGTAAAGAATCCGTTTGCAATGTGGGAGACCTGGGTTTGATCCCTTGGTCGGGAAGGTCGCCTGGAGGAGGGCATGGCAACCCACTCTAGTATTCTTGCCTGGAGAATCCCCATGGACAGAGGAGCCTGGCAGGTTACAGTCAATGGGGTTGCAAGGAGTTGGACATGACTGAGTGGCTAAGCACTGCACAGCACACATATACCATAAAGTCTGTATTTACTGTATATATTATATTAAATGCATACTGTGTACTGTATACATATTATGTGTGGATATATGCATTATGTGTAAACATTACGTATGCACATAGTGTGCTGTGTTAGAGTCTGTGTCTCCTGCACCTCTCTGATGGCCAGCTGGAAGCAATAGAAGCATAAACGCTAGGACAGCAGGAAGTAGATGTAGAGCGAGGGGCAAAGCCTGGAGCCCAGTAAACCTGAACTTCATAAATGCTGAGAGTTGAAAATGGTAAGAACCACAATCATGGTAACGTAGCTGGAGTAACCATTGCATGCCCTCCTCCTGGACCTCCAAGGTTGAGGACATGGAAGCCCACCTAGAGCACCTGCACAGAGGGGGCAGAACCTAACTAGTCATGTCCAGAGGCCCCGTTCCAACCACTGGGCTGAGCAGCCTTCCCCCTGGCAAACCCAGCATCCTGCAGAGGTCAGCTCTGGTGGTTCGAGGGTCTCTGTACAGTAGCACCACTCACAAAATGAAATCTTTTTTTCTGACTAGGATCGTGTAACTCAAAATCAACAGTGCAAAACAGGAAATCAGGGCATCACAGCTTCATCCTCACATTGACTTGGATGGTGGCCTTGAGAAGGTCCCCTCTGCTCCTTGCCTTCACGGCCAGCGGGTGGCTTTACGTGGCTCACAGCCAACCCTCTGTGTGGCTCATCAGCCCACCAGCTACATCACTGCTTAAGTAGCAGGTGTTATTCCTCAAACTTCTTAGACTGAACTACAGCACTCAAATGTAGTCAGTGTAACTCTTTTTCCCCCAAACTGCTTGCTTAACACCACCAAATCTCACCGTCAAGGCCTGATGACCATCTTAGACATGCAGTATTTGTAGTTGCAAAACCACGCTGGGGACACTGGTTACTCTTCTTCATGCTCCTGGACTTTGGAGCTGTCCACGTGGTGTGAAAACACAACCGTTCACTTGAGTGTCCAAATCAGGAGTGGCCCCAGGGTAAAAACAGCTTACGTGTGGACGCGGGTGTCCACACAGGTTTTCCCTCCAAGTCGCTCCACGTCTGACCCGGCTTCTGTGTTCTCTCGACAGACCAGCAGTATTCATGGTCCCCGACTCCGCACTTCAATGAAGAGAGGTACTCCCCCGCTCCGAGGACTATGAAGGGCTTATCCGGGAGTCGGAACCCTCCGCTGTGCTCTGGCCACACGTGTGGCCTGACGCCGCCCGAGGACTGCGAGCTGGGCCACCTGCACCATGGGCCCGAGGCGCGGCCGCCCTACCTGCTCAGCCCCGCTGACAGCTGCCCGCTGGAGCACCACCGCTGCTCCCCGCGGACCTCCATCCACTCCGACTGCGTGATGCTGCCCGTGGTGCTGGGCGACCACGTGTCCAGCAGCACCTTCCCCCGCATGCACTACAGCTCCCACTATGACAGCAGGGACGACTGCGCCGTGGCCCACGCGGGCGCCAAGATCAACCGCATCCCGGCCAACCTGCTGGACCAGTTCGAGAAGCAGCTGCCGCTGCACCGGGACGGCTTCCACACGCTGCAGTACCAGCGCGCCTCCGCGGCCGCCGAGCAGCGCAGCGAGAGCCCCGGCCGCATCCGGCACCTGGTGCACTCCGTGCAGAAGCTCTTCACCAAGTCGCACTCCCTGGAGGGCTCGTCCAAGGGCCACGTCAACGGCACCAGGGCCGACGGCAGGGCGGACGAGCACGCGCACGGCCACCACGCCAAGCACGGCCGGCGGAGCAAGAGCCGCGAGCGCAAGGCGGAGGGCCGGCCGCGCGGGGGCCCAGGCAGCTGGTGGGGCTCGGACGACAACCTGGACAGCGACAGCACCTGCCGCGCCTCCAGCGCGCTCGGCCGGCCCCACGCCGAGCCCGCGGCCCGCTGCTACCCCGACGCGCTGCCCGGCCCCTTCGGGGACCTCTCACTGCGGACCTCCAAGAGCAACAACGACGTCAAGTGCTCGGCCTGCGAGGGCCTGGCCCTGACGCCCGACGCCAAGTACATGAAGCGCAGCTCCTGGTCCACGCTCACCGTGAGCCAGGCCAAGGAGGCCTACCGCAAGAGCTCTCTGCACCTGGACAAGCCGCCCGGGCCCCCGGAGCTGAAGCCACCGCTGCGGCCCTGCCACTACCTGCAGGTGAGGGCTGGGTCCCGGTTCTGCAGTAGAGGGGGGCATCCAGACTCTGCAGGTCAGGGGGGTGTCCCAGCTCCGCAGGTCAGGGGGGGCGTCCCGGCTCTGCAGGTGAGGGGGTCGTCCCGACTCTGCAGGCTACTGGTGGGACCATCCCAGGAGGACCTGGAGTGTGGCGGGCCAGCCCCGGGGGCCTCTGAGGCTGCAGGATCCAGTGATGGCCACGACATGTGCACCCACAGCAACGTTTCCCCATCTGAAAGCGGCCAGTGGGGCCCAGGAGTGAGTTTGCATGAGCTCACCAGCCTTCCCCACGCCGGCAGCTTTACGCCTGGGATACGTCAGGGAGCCTGGTTATAGGAACCGAATCTGTTCTCTGGGGTGTGGGTGAAACACACCACAGGCAAGAACAGGCACACAGTGGGCGTGGAGGCCGTGACGTGCGGGACCCTCTGCGGGGCCTCCCTGTCCTCTTGGCTCCTAACCGCACGCGCCCAAGTGAGAGGGAGCCCAGTGCTGAGAGGCCCCTCTTCTTTCAGGAGGCCCCTGCAGTTACTTCTCTCAGCCAACAGCGCTGTTAGCAAAGCCCTGAAACCTGAAGTTTCCTTCAGGGCACATGTAATTTGCATTCAAATCCGCCCTTCAGTGGGTGACGCGGGCTGTGCACGGGATTGGAGAGACCCTCTTGGAATCCTGAGTAGGAGAGACCCTCTTGGAATCCTGAGTAACCGTCTGATCACCAGCGTCTGATTGCTGGCTGAGGCATTAGGCAGTCAGTTAACCAGGCAGATAAGCAACCGCGATTCTTCTCGGGCATCAGATGGCTGCGAATTGCATTAGCAATTCCAACTGCCACCTGGAGCACGGTCCATGACCAGTGGATCTGGTTTAAAAGGAAAATCTGCTCATCAGATTGCTTTCATAGGCAGATTTATTCAAAGAGACAGATGAATTTAAATAGCAATATTTAAACAATATTGCTTATTATTATCTTATATTAAAATAGTAATATTTGATTAACAGTAATTAAAATATTAATATTTAAGAGACTTAAATTTTACTTGTAGTTACTTGCTAAATGCCCCCTTGCATGCTCGGTTGTGTCCGACTCTCTGTGACCCGGTGGACTGTAGCCCACCAGGTTCCTCTCTCCTTGGAATTCTCCAGGCAAGGATGCTGGAGTGGATTGCCATGCCCTTCTCCAGGGGATCTTCCCAACCCAGGGATCGAACCCAGGTCTCCCTCGTTGCAGGCAGGTTCTTTACCACTGAGGCACCAGGGAAGTCCTTGCTAATGCATAAATAGGAAGTTTTTGCCCGAAAGTCTGTAAAGGACTGTGATAATCACAGGAGATGTGAGACTTGGAGCGCCCCAGGCCCCACCCCTCCCCAGACTGCTGGTGTCCGGGGAGCTGGGAGCCTCAGCCCTCCCGCAGACTCCTGCTGACTGCACTGCACTTCCTGGGGATCCTCCCTGGCCAGATCAGAGGCAGGGGAGTGGAAGAGTTTGTCTGTAGCTGCTGCTGTAGGAATAAGATTTAAAAGAACAGAGGGGAGAAATAAATGCTCACAGGCTCTTTTTATTTTCTCCACCAGAAGCTAGAGAAATTTGGAGCTGAGCAAAAGTGTTGTATTTTATTTTCACCTTTGGTTTGTACAGAATACATAGTTAACATTAGAGGAAGTTCTTTTTATGTTTTTAAGTAGGTCAAAGCAGACAACAGAATTGAAAGAAAATTCTGATTTATTTTATTCTTTGAAAGAGCTTGTTTTGGTGTTTCCTCCATTGGCAGACACGGCATCTAAGGTCAGAGTTTTAATGAATGTCACACTGACGGGGTGGGTGACGTGCAGCCGGTCAGCTCAGGATCAGATGGCCTCCTTGTCTCGCCCTGCCCTGAGTTCCAGGGACACAAGGTGGATGATGGCTGCCCGGCCCTGGTGGGAGGACAGGTGGGGGCAGCTGCTTCTGTCACGCCTGGAGCACACTGGGAACACACCGGGAACGTGGGCCTGGGCCCCTCCAGTGCAGCCCCCTGCAGCATCACAGCCCAGGACCAGCCCCAGCTCTGGTCCCCTTCTCCCGTCCTGGGCCCTGCCTCTCCCCCTGCCTCCTTCACTTTCCGTCCCTCCTTCCTCTCTCTGTTGTTTCTGCACGCCTGGTGGTCCAGACCCATGGGGTCCCTCCGGTCTCCCCCCGTGTCTGTGTTGACCATGCTGCAGGGTCTTGTCTGGGGTCTGCTGGGGGAAGAGCTCCCGCCCTGACACTCTGGGAGCTGTCAGAGGAGATGAGCAGAAGGACATGGAGCCTGAGGGTCCCCTCAGGGCATGGAGGCTTCCTCAGGCTGGAAGGGCATTTCAGCCTTGCCCCCAGCACCCAGCCCCTGCCAAGGTCTGCCCATCCCAGCCCCAGGCATGCAGCCTGCCCCACCGTCCTTCACAGGAAAGGACTCCAAACACTGTGGGTCGTGAGCAGCCTGCCCCCGGGTCACTCATGAAGCTGATGAGGCCCCCTTGGCCCCCAGCTCGAGTGCACACAGAAATGCAGCCTACGCCGCCACCTTTCCCAGTGTTCTTCACACAGTGCGTTCTGTGCCGAGGGCGGCGGGCGTGCCAGCCCACGAGTCAGCTCCTCTCTGACTTCCCACTGCGAACGTTCAGTCACACACAGGCCCTGCCATTCTTAACTGGTGAACGAGAATGAAGTAGAATGTTCACCCACACAATATTACACGTTTCTGTAGTGACTGACGGTTTCCCAAGGGCCTTTCTTAGACTCTCTCAAATCTAACCACAGCGTCTGATGTATACGCGATCAATGAGGCAGAGAGGTTTACCAGGCTCACAGCTGGCAAATGCTCAAACCCCAGCATCTGTCGATGAAGAATTTATTTCAGCAACATTTCTCAAACGCCTGCCTGTCACAGGCCCGAGACCAAACCAGCACCTGATGGAGAGGCAGTGAGTGATCGCAGCCTCCCGGGTCGGTCCACGTGCTGGACACCAGTCACTCCCGTTGGCCCTGCCCCTGTGTGCTGGAATAGGGGGACAGAGTCCGGACAGAGGTGGGGTCACTTCAGACGGGATGTGGAGGAGTCGGTCTCAGAGCTGACCCACGCCCTCAGCTCTTGGTTGGAAGTCAGCCTTTACGTCTGACTGTGTGGGAGCACCCTTAGGCCAGAGACCTTTGAAGTACTTGAGGCAGAAACCAGAAAAGGCCCGTTTGGTAAAGATGGATGGTTTTCTTAAACTGCACCTGGAAGGCTGACTGCACGTTATGCTCAGACTTTGCGCTGCGTGGATAGGCAGCACCCCAACTCCCACGTCGTTCAAGGCTCAAGCGCACAGGCTTGTATCCATGTATAAAGCTTCCAAATGCTAATAAAACAGAGAAATAAAAGGAAGGTCACTTGTAATAAGAACATGAATCTTAATATAAAATCATCTGGGCCCTGACAGACATGTCCAGAGGGAAGTGGAGTGTTCAGGAGCTCGTTTCTGGGTGAAGACTTGCTGCTAATCTAGACTGGAGGAGGGAGTCTCAGAGACCCACCTGCACGCTGCTCTGACCCTCCAGGTGGAGCAGCGCACCACAGTTCCCTCCATCAGTGACACCGTGCAGAGGAAACCAAGAGCACTCTGGTTTACATACAGAAAAGAGCTCAGGAAGGCAAACGCTGGGATCGCACAGGACGGGAGCCAGCCCTCCAGGGGGTGGGGTCGCACAAAACAGCAGCCGGTCCTCCACGGGATGGAGTTGCGTCCTGCTTCATGGCCCCCAGGGTGCTGGCCACATCCCCCCAGTGTGTGGCATCAAGGCTGCCCCAGATACTTGTCCATGCTGCCCTCAAGGGTGCCCCACTCGGACCCGTGGTCTTGCTCTGTGACAGCCTGGAAATGGGAAGCCCAGCTGTCTTGCTCTGTTATATTCCCAGGGCAAGTGTGCCTGGCGTCCGTTTAAAACAAAACAACAAAATTTTGGACTGAATGGAGAAGACATGTCCCCACATGGACACCTAGTGTTTGATGGCATTTTCTTCCTTGGTTTGAGCGCCTGGAAGAGAATATTATTACAAAACCCCAGCCCTTGTCCCTTTGCCATGCTGCTTGAAAGGAAGAAAGGACATTTTAATCTGCAGCCTGAAGTCTCCTTCAAGCAACAAGCAGGAGATACTGAAATCTACACTCACCTCGACCTTAGGAAGATTCAGAAACTGTAAATGTCACTCACTACTATAAGCAAGTAGGAAATTAGAGTAATAATTATCTCTAAATGCAGCACAGATTGTGCATGGATTCGCGGAGGCTGTGGATACTGTGAAAAGAAGCTTATTCGTTCATGAAAGCACTTGATGTTTTGGGGTCCACGTTGGCCACCCTCACGCCCGCCACTGCAGGTTTGTGGCCCTGTAGTGTGCTGGAGAAAGCGTTCTTTACTGAGGCATGGTGGCGTTTCCGGGTCACTCCCTGTTCTTTTGACAGTCTGCAGACATATGCTTCGGAATCAGTTGCAACCGCTCTTGACTCTGGTTTACTCTCCTTCTGTATTGAAATCTCGTCTGTCAAAGACTGCGAAATTGGCAGCTTCAATCAGAAACAAAAATATACAAGCTGATCTCATTTGTTAGTTAATTCACAAGCAGCTGGAAAAAAAATCTTTACTTTGTATTTTTTTACAGAAGCATGTTTTTTGATTCACAAAAATTCTATAAGCTGCCAGCGGGAATGCATCTTCCCTGGCACATGGCTCCTCCCGCCAGCTTCCTTGGAGCAGCTGCCCAACTGCTGAGCCCCTCATCTCTCCGGGGTGCTGGCGGGGGAGCCAGAGCCTCTGTGAGCCTCTCTTGTGCCTTCTGCTCAAGTCCCAGTGAGCTAGAGCCCCCAGCCTCACCTCCAGGAAGCCTTCCCCAATCACTTCCTCTCTGTCGACAGCTTCCTCTGGTCCTTCCCTGTCTGCCCTCTACATCTCCTTCTTTGCCCTAATTAAACCATAATTCACGTTATTTTATGCCTGTCTCCTCTACTGAAATGTATTCTCATTTGGGACTAAATTTTCTTAAGTTAAAAAAAATAAGTTTACTTTTTATTACAATAGTTATTAATATATATATGGTCCATGTAGAAAATTTAGAAAATATAAATATAAAAGCAAATCATTGAAAAGCCCACCATTACTGTCTCCCAGTGATAATCACACATCCTTCCGGCTGTGTTTCTATGCATGATACAGCATCTCTGTCTTTCAGGGCTTCCCTGGTGGCTCAGCGGTAAAGAACAGCCCTGCCAATGCAGGAGACAAAGGAGACACAGTTCAATTCCTGGGTCAGGAAGATCCCTGGAGGAGGAAATGGCAACCCACTCCAGTATTCTTGCCTGGGAAATCCCATGGACAGTCTGGTGGGTACAGTCCATGTCGTCTCAAAACATCGGACGCAACTGAACGTGCGTGCACACACACACACTTCTGCCTTTAAAGTAGAGAAACACGGCGTCCACACTTTAAACACTGTTCTCCCTCGTGGACGTCTCTCCTTGGCTAAATACTAGTTCTGCATATTATCCATGGCATGATTTAGTGGATATGTTCAGCCACCCCATCAGATATTATCAGTTCCCTCCTTTGACCCTAATGATCAGCTCACAGTCCCCGGCACGAATCCTGTTGTCCGGGGACGTTGCTAAGTCAAAGGCCCACACAGATCGAGTCTTCCGACTAGTGGCATAAAGCATGGGCCCGCGTTACTGCTGGGCATGAGGCAGGGGGCAGCCTCTGTCCCACAGCCTTGTCCATCCTCCAGTTTGTCGGGCTTGCTGAAACTGACCCCCGCGAGGAGAGAGGTGAGAGCCTGGATGCCCAGAGAAGCCCAGACGTCCCTCCTCCTAATCTCTTCTCCCAAGTGCCCCCACTCCTGTAAACCTGTGTCTGTTTCCCCAGTGGCTGTCTTCCTGGCATTTCTTCCTCCCGCAGTGTCTCTGGCAGCTCTGCACTGCCGTCTGTGGTCTCGTGCCCACCCGCTCCCCGGGGTCATCATCCCCTTGAAAGCCGCTCGGAGATGGGCACTCAGCACCTGGCTGTAGGGAGCTTGGACATGCTGCCCCCAAGCCCTGCTCTGCGGCTGCAGGTCCCTGGGCCACACCACCCTGAGGGTCAGGCCTGTGAGGACCCAGAGTCTCCATCCTGTGAAGCCCCCTCCTCGTCCACGTGAGGCTGGCGTGTCTCCGTGTCTTTCATGGACCCAGCCTGGCCTGGGATGGAGGCTAGTTCCACACACAGGCTGCAGGGAGGATCTTTGGAGCATCACCATGGGGCCTGGGAGGCTCGGTGCCCACATGCTCACCCTCACTGAGGGGTGCCCGCTCCCTGCGTGTTGGCGGGGGTCCCAGAAGGGGCATTCGTCCTGCCCTGGGCTGCAGTCTGCAAGATGGAAGATGGGGAAAAAGCGCTTTCAGCTGATAACTCAGCCCTCGCGGCCAGCCCTGCGTGTCCCTGGCTGGGACGGTGACGAACGGCCCAGTGGCCCCATCAAAACTAGGGAGATGACAAATGAGCGCATCTACAAAACAAACTCACAGACACAGAGATCAGACTTGCGGTTGCCAAGGGGGGCCGGAGGGGTGGGAAGGACTGGGGGTTTGGGGTTAGCAGATGTAAACTAGTTTATACAGTGTGGGTGAACAGCAGGTCCTACTGGATAGCACAATATCCTGTGATAAACCACAATGGAAAAGAATATGAAAAGCAATGTATACATGTATAACTGAATCACTTTGTTATACAGCAGAAATTAACACAATGTGAATAAAATGAAGTTCAATTAAAAACAAAATTTTTAAAAAACGTGGAAAGATGGCAAGACTCCTTTTAGAATGAACCCACTCCAGTATTCTTGCCTGGAGAATCCCCATGGACAGAGGAGCCTGGCAGGCTCCATGGGGTCCGTGAGGTCGCAAGGAGTCAGACAGGACTGAACGACTAAGCACAGCACAGCCGGAGTGTACTTAAGTCTCTAAACATTAACCGTAGGACAAGCCCCACCTCTGAAGGCTTTGTCAACACGGAACTGCATCGTCCCCTGTCTCCACGAAGAGCATGGTGGGAGATTCCCACTGGGTCCTTGGGTCCTTGGACTACAGAGCTCCATGCGATGGTGCCGCACGTGTGCGCTCACACAGCCATCTGCACTCGGCCGCTGCCTGGGGTGGTTTTGGGTTTTGTCAGCATCACGGCTGGTGGAGCGTGAAGGGACCGCTCCGCCCTGAGCGCCCATGGTGGAGACACCCCGTGACGCCTGTGCTGTGTGAGGACCTCGGGTTTCCCGGGGGGCAGGTCCTTCCTCCCGCAGCGCAGCCTGCACGCGCACCGCAGACAGCCCCAGTCTGAGTGGCGGGACCCGGGTCCGGGCGTGGCCTGGGCACCGGCGGGCAGGGCCCCGCGTGGGGGCCATGACCCAGTCCTGGGCTCACCCCCTGCGTCAGCTCGCACGGGCCTCAGGGCCTCCTCCTCTGGTTTCCTTCTTCTCCTCCTTTCCTCCTCTCCACACTGGAGACCTCTTAGTCCAGTTTTCTCAACGTTCAACTGCCTTCTTACCACAAGGAAGTAAATCTAAGTGTTAGCAGTGGTTCTTCCAGGTGCTGAGACTACGTTTTGTCCTCATTCTACTTTTCTAACATTTTCTCACTTTTTCCGTAACATATATCACTTTTATAACAGGAGGAAAAGCAATGATTATATGTGAATGTGCTTTTGGGATCTGAGTGACGGACCATGAAGAAGCGTGTGACGTCGGTGCTGAGTGCCGGTGACGAGCCGTGTCTTTGGGGGCCGTGGCCCCGGGAGGCAGCTGGGGCCCTGACGCCCTGTGTGCTCTCCCCAGGTGCCCCAGGACGAGTGGGGAGGGCGCCCCCTGGGGGGCAGAGACGACGAGATCCCCTGCAGGAGGATGAGGAGCGGGAGCTACATCAAAGCCATGGGCGATGAGGACAGCGGGGACTCGGACTCCAGCCCCAAGACGTCCCCCAAGCTGGCCCTCCGGCCGGAGCCCCTGCTCACATCCATCGGACAGAGGCCGCTGGGAGACCTCCAAACGTAAGCCCCCCGCACTTCCCCCGCCCCAGCCCAGGGCTTTCCTCACACGAGCCAGTGGTCAACCCAGAAAAAGCCCAGGATTGAAAATATTAGACTCAATGGCCGTCAATATAAAGTCCTCTTTAAAAAACCTGTCAGACCTTTGGTTACACTTACTGTGTAGTAATTAAGGAAATATACTAGGGCGATTTCTATGTCAGGTGTTAATATTTGAGCACCTGTCATAGCCAGTGACCCATCCGTGTCTTCTCAGATCATTCCAGCTATTTATCAGAAGCATGTTTGTGTGTGTGTGAGACAGCCACAGTGGGGAGTTTTCTGTTTACTGTAACTTTACAGGTGCATATGCAAGCAACAAAGTTTTTGCAAGGTAAGAACAGGAACTGGATTAGTTTTACAAACATCATAGAATATGCTTTATATATTTGTCCAAAGATACATTGTGGGGTTTTTAAAATTGAAATATAGTTGATTTACAATGCTGCGCCAATCTGCTGTATAGCAAAGTAATTTAGTTATACACATGTATACATTCTCTGTTCAAAGTCTTTTCCATTCTGGTTTATCCCAGGATATTGGATACAGTTTCCTGTGCTTTTGTTTATCCAGCCTATCTGTAATAGTTTGCATCTGCTAATCCCAAACTCCCAACCCATCCCCACCCCCCATGCCTCATGGCAGCCACAAGTCTGTTCTGTGTCTGTAAGTCTGTTTCTGTTTCGCAGATGAATTCATTTGGGTTATTTTAGATTCCACATATAAGTGATATCATATGGTGTTTGTCTTTCTCTTTTTGCCTTACTTCACATAGTATGATAATCTCTAGGTCCATCCATGTTGCTCAAGTGGCATAATTCCATTCTCTTTCATGGCTGAGAAGTGTTCCATTGCATATATGTACCACATCTCCTTTATCCGTTCATCTCTGCATGGACAGACAGGATGATTCCAGGTCTTGGCTATTGTGAATAGCGCTGCAATGAACATAGGGGTGCATGCTAAGATACATTGTTGATAAATTTAACTAATTTCCAAAATATAAACAGAGGAAACTAGGAACTTGGCTATCCAGTTGAATGATGAAAACGCGACTGCAGTTCTTAGCTGTCAGCCTCTGTGTGCTTCTGGTCCTTCCAGCTAAGTCTGGATTCACATGCAAAGAAGCACGTGCTTTTGCCACCACAAGCTGTGGCTTCTCTGGTGTGGAGGTTCAACAAGAGGGTGAAACGGCAGGTTGGCGGTCTTCCTGGGGCATGTGCTACATTCTCCGTATATGTGTGCAGGTTATTCTTTTTGCCCAAATCTGACGCCGCAGTGGATACGTAACAGGGACCAGGTAGTGCCCTGCCCAGACGGTGCCATGCCTTGTAGGACGACTCTGCAAATTCACAAAGTCCATGAAACTCCCATAGCAAGTTGCTCTTTGTGTTAAGATACAAAATTTCTCTTGAAAATATGTTACTGGGAGGTACATCAATTAAGTTGTTATTGCCTGTTAGGATCTTAGCACATCTTGGGATTTTATAGGTTTCAATATCATTTCATTTATTTTCATCTTAAATGACCTCACAAAAGCTCAGCTCTTTCCCCAGGGAGGTTAAAACTGTGCCCACGTTATGGAACAAAACCCTGACTCAAAGGAATGAGGTGCCTTGGCCATATAAGGGACCAGGGGTTTGAATGAAAATGGTTATTGTAATCCCACGTTCAGGGAAAGTACTTCACCTGAACAGCAGGAGAGCATGCCAGGGACCGCGTGCTTTCTGTGAGAAAGGAGGAGGTGGTTCCAAAGTTGGATTTAAAATATGGCCGTGAGCAGAAAGTCTGGAATTCAGCAGCTCCCCGGGTGTGTTTCCCTCCAGCACCACAGAACTTCACCAGCAGGAGCTGACTGACAGGCGGATTAAGATTCAAATGATAAACATAAGAATTAGCGTCTGCTGACCTCCTTCAGGTTTTTATTCTCCTCTTGGTATGCACAGTTAATTCTATTGACGTTAATAATGGTATTCAGGAAGGCAAATAAAATAGCCAGAAATAGCCTGGTAATTATACTTTAGTTCTAACTAGATGGGTTGAAGATACATTGATATTCTTTTAGCTAAACTATGGTACGGGCATGCTGACCCCTAGGGGTTTACGCACCTCCTGCCTCACATAAACTCTCCTGTGTGATGGACTTGCCCAGCAAGCCTGCTGTGATCTGCCTGGCTGAGACCTGCAAGGATCTGGGGCTGCCTGTCGTCAGCCCTTTTGAGCCACGTAATATAAGCCCCTTTCTGTGAAGGCTGCTTGACCTCTGGGAACAGCGGTTGTGTTGAGCAGTGTCTTGTCTTCCTGCTGGTACACCCAGAAAGCAGCCGGTCCTACTGTTCCTAACTAACCGTGCTCCCTGACTACACAGGCAGGGGTTCTCGCTGTCACCGTGCAGTGCTCTCTAAGTAGTGCAAGGCGACAGACAGTCTTTTCACTCTGGAAAGAAAGATGAAGCAAAAGCAAACGACCAAAGACTTGCCACACTTGTCTCACTGCCCAGGATTCTCAGGAGCAGTGTTGATGGATCGAGGACAGACTCTGTCCCTCTGTGGGTCAGACCCTGCCCATGATGGATCGAGGACAGACCCTGTCCCTCTGTGGGTCAGACCCTGCCCACAGGCAGATGCCACTGAGAACTGTTTTAACTGAAATGTAAATTTCAAGATGCTATGGAATCCAATTTACTAGGTTTTAAATTAGTTTATGTATTAATATATGGAGAGTTCACTTTTTATTATTATGAAAGGTAGACCAACTGATTTAATTTTAGGGTTTTTTTCTGCTTAGTTGAATTGAGAAGTCAAATCTCTAATAAATTTGAACATCTCTGAGTCATTCTCTCAAGAAAGTAGCATTTTAAATTTGCAGAGAAAGGAGAGCTTATGTTACAAATTACTTCACATGTAAAGATAAACTCAGGTGGGTTACAGATATAAACATAAGAATCATGTTTGCGTGTGTGGCTGTATACAGGTGTGTGTATATGTCTGTGTGTGTATATGTCTACGTATGTATATACAGATGTGTGTATATGTCTATGTATATATAGGTGTGTGTATATGCGTGTGTATATATCTATGTATGTGTATACAGGTGTGTGTATATGTATATGTGTGTATTACAGGTATGCATATGTACATGTGTATATATGTACATGAATTTGCATATATGAATATTTTACAATCTTAAGTTGAAGAAGGCATATCCCAACCATATTCCACAGTGAGCAACTACAAAATATTGGCATATTTTAATTCATAAAACTAAAAACATATTCATGGCAAAGGTCAACAAATGAACAAACTGAAACTACTGTCACCAAAGTAAGACAATCATGAAAACCTGGGGAAATGCCCCATGATACAGGTGAGACGTGCTCACATTCCTAATACAAAGAGACACCTTGCAAATCAGTCAGGAAGAGATGAGCACTGTGGTCATATAAACGGGCAGAGACCAGAAAAGACGTTCACATACCTCATCAGTGACTGAAAGTCTGGGAGAGCTTTAGCATTCCACTGAAAATAAAAATCTGAACTCCTGTTCTAAAGTGTAAAGGTGCAGAAATACAGTGGTGTTCACTAGTTCCTGCACATCACTGTAGGAAGCCCCTCACACCCGTCAGAGGGATCTGGTCCCACAGGTGGATCCACCTGTAAAAGTCACACAGGTAAGATGCTCTTCATTGTTACATCGTCAGTAACAGCAAAAGTCACAGTAACCCAGAGTCCACCGTGATAGTACTGACTGAACAAGAGATATATGCAAGTATTGAAATAGTAGAATATTATTAATAAGATGTACTAGAATATTAGGCAGCTATAAAAATGAGGAACACTTCCGTGTGCTAATTGTGGAGCAATCCAGATTACATCAACTTTAAAAAGCAAAGTACAGGACATTGTTGTATAGCTGCCACTTTTAAAAAAAAAATGAGAGACTGAGAATCTTTTTACGTTTATTGTAATTACAGATCCTCTCTTTTTTAAATTTGTTCTTGTGTTTGATGGCTGTGCTGGGTCTTCGCTGCTGCATGGACTCTCTCCTAGCTGTGGAGAGCAGGGGCTGCTCTTCGTCACAGTGCCCGGGCTTCTCTTGTCGGGGGGCACAGGCTCCAGGGGCGCGGGCTTCAGGAGTCGTGGCCTCTGGGCTCAGCTGATGCAGCTCCCGGGCTCTGGAGCTCGGGCTCACCTGTTCTGCAGCCTGTGGGATTGAACCTGTGTCTTCTGCCTTGGCAGGTGGACTCCTCCACTGAGCCACCTGGGAAGACCCGATGCTGCCACTTTTATATGATAAAATGGGAAAATAAGACTAAAACGCATGTCAGATTATAATACATAAAGAGACAATAGAAGAATAAGATGCTAATAAAAATGTTTACATCTAAGGAGCGAGGAGGAAGTAGGTGCGACAGGGATGGACAGGACACCTCAATATGCCTCTTTTTATATATGATGTTGACCTTCATTCGTGCAAATGTGCCATCTATTCAGAAATATCAGAACTTAAATATGCAATAAAAGAAAGTAAAACCCACTCTAGAGAGACAGAGCAGCCAAGAGAAGATTTAGAGATGACTGATGACAGAACCATCAGAGAGAACTTTAAAATAATGGATTGATGCCATAAAGATCGAAGGGAAAACGTGGAGTACTCAGAGGCACCAAAGGGAAATTGGTAGAGAGAGAAAGTGTAAGAAAGAGGGAGGTGGAAACGCTGCAGGTGCAAACCATGGTGTGAGGAGCAGAGGCTTAGTTGCTGAGCTCATCAGTAGATGCGGCACAACCGCGTGATGGCCAGTGAACTTGAAGATAGTCCACGGGAATCACCACACACACAAAAATGTAGGAAATAAAAGCAGGAAAGAGCATTCAGGAGCTGTGGGCAAACATTAAATTGTCAAATGCACTGAATCCCAGGAGGAAAAGAGAAGGGGGAACAGTCTATGGAAGAAACATTTGAAG